CAGCCAGCACAACAGACTTACCAGCTGGAGGCAGCTGTGTCCAGTGTAATGAGGACTGCTGCCTGTTTAGTCTATGGCCAAATCTCAGAATCGGCACCGAATCTTTTCCAAACTGATTTGGAGGCTTTCGATTTGATTTGGAGCTTTTAACTGCTCTCCCAATTTGATTTGGATTCGGAGATTAGGCCACCGAATTGGGCCGAATTTCCAAATCGAATCAGCTACCAAAGCTTTGCACAGCCCTAGTAGGGATGTCTTTCATCTTGTGAAACTGCTCCATGCAGAAGCCGTTGCAATAGAAGTTTAAAACTACCCAGCAATATCCATGTAGATAAGCCTCACTGCTGTTGCTGTAGGTCACTTACGTTTTTGATTATATACATATTTTCAGAAAGGCTAATGTTGGATTTCTGCAGAGACAATACAGCTTTCCCTCGTTTTATGTGGGTTCTTTATCTGCAAATTTGCTCTTATGCAATGACACTTTTTATACCAAAAATTAGTTATATGCAAGGTACATTCACTCTTATGTGATTGGTGTGGTGGAAGCCTGCAGTCAGCTGCTTTGCGTGGTGCATTGTGGGAGTGATGCACACCAAAATTTAGTCTCCTGTGCAGATCCGTGCTCCTCGCTTGCTGTTGGCGACATGTGTTTCTCTAGTTGCTATCCCCATTATGGTAACATTCACCACCACTCTGATTGTGCATACTCTGTTGTTGGTGAGTACCAAAATTGCCTTGTAAAAGTGGTAGAAATGGGTCTGGGGGTCAGTACAGTCAAGGCCTTGGAATGTATCCCTATTTTTTACATTGTAAAGTGGGTTCCCTTTATGCAAATTCAAGTTATGCGCCACTTTCCAGGAACGCATGTACAGCATAAAGCGAGGGAAATCTGTATTAAGAATCTCTTCCTAAGCAATGCAACTGCACTTCACCCTTTTAAAAATACTAGGAAAGGATTTCTGTGAATAAAATGGTTAACTGTAACTGCATCTCTCCGATGTATGTAGTCTACAAGGTCCAAATCTACCCTGCCTTCAGACTGGCACTGGTAACTGCATCTAACTGTAACTGGACTGTGTTGGCAACTTTATGAACTGTGCAAATACTATGCCATTAATTATTAACTACTCATTAAACAACACCACCACTAATAATAATACTAATAATAACTGTTAACATATCTAACAGTCCATGTGAATTGATTTCAAATTACTTTAGTAGCAAGTTATCACTGATCAATACTCACTCATTAAATCTTTAAACATGGTTTTCTCATGTGTTAGAAGATGATCAATAATGGATCTCCAGCTGGGTAAAAACATACAGAAAATAGATCAACATTAAATATTGATGCAAATTATCTATGTGTAGAGTAGATGTACGCATCTACAGAGGGAATCATCTTACTATCTCATTTCTGAATTGATTCCAAAATGACATACATTTTATCTGGCTTATCATGCATTATATTTGACAGTCTTCAACCTGATTACATGTAGATCCAAAATCAGTAGAGAAAAATAATCACTTGTGTCATGACATGAAGAGAATTTTTCTTTCCTCAGCAGAGTGCTGAAAACTAATTATTTTATGAAACAACATATATTTACTAGAACTAGTTATTTTGCAGTTATTTTTCTACATATTAATTCAAACTTTCCCACAGGATACAAGAGGTTGAGTAGCAAGTATCCTGCTAAATACTGTTTTTGTAGATTTATAATGAAATCACAGATTGCCATGATTTCATTTCTTACTGGATGCACGAACTGTCCATTTGGAAGAAAGCTGGGTCCATATATAACTCCAGAACTTCTTTTTTCCAGGCTCGTTTAGTGTAGGCATATCCACTTAGTGAGCTGAGCAACTGGGCACCCGCACGAAAACTAGGAATGTTGTAGGCACTGTAGTAAATAAAAGGTAATTAGTATCCTGGACATGCACATGTACACAGAGTAATAACCTACTCAGAATTCTGTTTGCTGTAGTACAGGAAAATGACTGTCACCTATACAAATGGATTAGATTGAGCATGACAAAAGCCCTGCCAGCTAATTTCTGATGGCCATATCAATATCCTCGCAATGTAGGTTCATTAGAAATCCCAGTCCTTTTCATTCTGAATGTGAATTGAAGGATTACTGAGTGCAGGACACCAAGCAATGAATTTAGGAATCTACCACTGCGCTTACTGACAGTTGGTTCACTTACTGCAGGTCAGTCAGACCATCATGCTTAGGGATTCCACAGAGAGAAGGGCTTTGGGTTTGTTAGCACTTACAAAAGCACTAATCCATCAGGGACACTAGATGTCACCAAGGCTTCTAAAACAGAAGGCCTATGTCATCCTCCTATGGATGATGGCTAATAACTTATTAGAGAACTCTTGGCCACTCAAGATATGGAGAATTAGTCTGAGAACAGGTGTATTGAGACTACTTAGACTCACCTTGTGAAACTGTTGCCAACCTACCTACAAATTTTGTAATCATTAACCTGATTGCCTGTTCTTTTTTTTTTTTTTTAAGGTACTCATGATTAAGTTAGAGTTGGTTATCAGTATAAAAATTTAGAGTTACTTATAGACAAAAAAAAAAAAAAA